CATGTGGCTTGAGGAGAAATAACACTGAGGAGATACTTACACAAGGTTGCTTGCACAATGACACTTACTTAGAACCTAAAGGCAAACTGGTGACATGAAGGAGAGCTTCTTGTACACACTGAGCACATGTGTCTCTGCTTGTACAGGTTAATGTCCAACTGAAGGTGTGAAACAGTCTACTTATCCTACTGAGACTGTACCCAAAGAATAACAAACTGCACACATGCTGCTTTTTAAGCATTTATAGAAAGAACAAATTGATGTAACCTGATTCTCAAAACTATTTCAGTCCTTTGAATCGTGTGGTATAATGTTAGTTGCCTTAAATTCACTTAAGTAGCCAAACTAGTGGCCTGATTCAGTGAAAATCTGCAGAGAGATGTTGTTTTAACAGATAGAAGATACAAATAGTCTTTTTTTCATAAAATGTCTGACTGCAGGGGTTCTGAAATGTTTCCAGTTATTTTAAGCAACATTATTCAAGTCTAGGCTATATTCAAATATTTAACTTACCTCTAACTCAAAGGCTTTGTTGTCTTCACCCCTTTTTTGACTCTTCTTCTCTATTCCATTCAGCTCCATTCTCTTCAGATATGTTCAAACACTGGCGAAACTCGCTGGAAGTCTTTTTTTAAGCACACCTGTCCTGTCTCTTTCCCCTCCCACCCTCCCTCTTCCTGTGACTCTCTAAGTCTCTTTCTGTATCTCTTTCTCCCTGGTGTTCTTTGTTAGTTTGTAGGACACTATGGATACTTTGTCAAATGTGTTGTGACAAGGTTATTAATTTGCTATGTTTACTTTCTTTCATTCTCTCATGGTTTCTTTCTTTCTTTTCATGCAAACACACACCCACATGCAAACGAACAAGTACAAACACACACTGTCTGTGCTTGGCCAACTGTTGTCTTCTCTAGCTATCATCAGGTTAAATGGTCAAAGGTCATTAAGGGATTAGGTGAAAACACACACACACACACACACACACACACACACACACACACACATAAAAACACATACAAACGCACACATGCAGGAATTTAATGTATATAATTGAGTCATGCAGGGTATGTTCAGTTGCAAACAGGAATAATTTTTGGTGCAAACTCTCCAAAACTGGACTCAATACCAATCAGAATGACATGAACTCTCTCGTATCCTATGTTCAGTCATTTCTTCTTTTCCTATCCCAACAACAGTCTTGTACATGTATAGTTGTAGTTACTCTGTCTCTTTCCTCAATAACAGGATTTTACTTACTTATATTATTTCTATATGGATGTAGCTTGTGCAGATGACACAATGATATCTTATATTTCTTAAGCGTCCCAGCAGCCACTAGAGAGCACTAGTGTATAATTTCTCAGGACTATACATGTAGTATGCTAAGGTTATAACAGGTTCATGTGAGTCCACATGACAATATATAGGCCTACATGCACATATATTGGGTGACACACTAGGGCATGATGTGCTTTGTAAACAAACATATAGTAAACAGGGTATTATCATAACAAAACAATTAAAATTATAAAACTATTACCTGCAATTACAGAAGACCATAACCTTGGTAATGGGAAACACTCTACAAAGATTACTGTAATTTGACTAGCTTGTTTGTAAAAGCTTAAAATCCTAAGAAAATAAGTCATATTTTAAGACATTCCTCCCTTTCAGCTGCAGAAGGACAGTCATCTGTCTTGCATTTGTTCTGTGGGATTTCCAAACAGTCTCTCATGGGAATGGGGCAACAGTTCAGTTCAGAAAGGAGAGTATCATTCAGTCATTTTTTAAATGGAAAAAAATCAAACACTTATTCTTCTCACTAAGGACACATGGGCCCACTGAAGACTTTTATCTACCATCACTTAGATGTAGCCAATCCACATGTTAAAACCATTAATCAAGCTAAAGCCAAGAACTTGGAAAGACAGAGCTGGGAAAATTTTGTCAGACAGAGGTTTGTTTATCCATGCATCATGTGCCAAAACCCCTCACAGTTAATGAAGGAAGAAAAATACTGCACCCTGGATTAGCTTGGTGGTGGTTTTCAGCATATACTCAGTGTGTCTAGTGTCCCAATCATGACCTTCTCTCTCTGTTACTCATAGCTTTGGGGTAAAGCATGATATAAGCCCTTTTTATATATTTTTAGAGGCCCACATGAATAAATCATAAACAGGATCTGATAAATGTTGGAGCTTGAAAAATACATTTTCTTTTTCTTTACCTTGCGTGAACCTGAAGCGATTATCATTAATAAATATAATGCTGATAAATGGTTGTGACGCAACAACAGGTGATTGTGATGTAACAACAGGTGACTGTGATGTAACAACAGGTGATTGTGGTGTCTGGCTGAATAAATTGATTAATTCGATTTTAAAAATACAGAAGAATATTTGATATTTTATTCATCATTTAAGTTCTTTATAAATATTCAATTCACTGTTTCTTATATCATTGCAACTTTAAAATCTTTGGGAATATGTGATTTTCCACAACAATCTAACATTATATGATGAATTGAAGATAATTGGTAGTTGCAGCCATAATGTGATGACAAAGCTGACACTTGTGAACACCATCAGGTAATTGTGACCATAAAAATACCTTGATTGTCATCAAGCATAAAGGAACAGTGATCACACAGCCGGAGCAAACGATCTTTACAGTAAGATGTCACGTTGCTAGGGGAGCTGAGTGATGTCATGAGAAAACATAGGCCTATACACAAACCATGTGACCAACGGAATCATTAAAGTTTTCAACATGAAAGAGAAAATTTACTTTTTGAATTAAATTAAACGTATTTGTATACATTTGTAGTTACACTACATCTCAGGTTTTATTTGTGATCTAATTTTATTTTGTATGATCCTGAAATAAACCCTAGAGCTCTTCCATATGGACGAATGATTCTTACAGGACACATAGCACCTCATGGTCATTTTAAATATGGCTACATTGTTAGTGAGCCAGAGCTTATTCAAAAAAACACTCAAACTGACTTTTACAATTCATTGTCAGTGGACTAACTCCAGGAAAGCGTCAGATGCTGAGGAGTCACAAGTGTATGTTTGCAGATACTGACATTGTTGTACAAATTCATTAAAACCATGTCTACTTAACAATGGACTTTGCTATGTCAGTTAAACAAATAAAATCAAAAAGCTTTGTTCACAGTTTTAGTTGGCAATGCCTTATTTTTGCCTTAGATGTCATCAGTGGCAGCATCCGGTCAGTGTGTGTCCGTATAAAAAGTTAGTGGTGAAAAGTGGTGATTTCTGTTTTACACTTAACACATCAAACATGCTGCATAATTGGCACAAGAAGCTAAATAAGCGGGGCATACCATAATACGTTCACAGTGTTGGATAAAACACATCGTGACTGATGTTCTGTCTGTCTGTGGACAGATGGTTCAAGGGGGTGATTACATGTTTAAAATGTCAAAGACCTTTAACACCGGTTACAACCTCTGTCAAATTTCAAAAGGAACTGAGAGTAATTAGAATATTATGTTTGTGAGAGGTTTTAATTAGTACGCTCACCCTGCTCTGTGCAGAATGCGTGCACCCCAGTTTCTGAGGCAGGCATCCACCAGATTGGTTCAGACACAGACAGGGCTCAATAATTACACTCCTCTATTCAGCAGCACTGCCTGTGCGTCAGCACAAACGTCATATTAGAGCTGCACATGGGGACAGGACATTGGAGAGAGGGAGAAAGAGGAGAGGAGAGGACTCCTCACAGCCGCGGTGTGTTGTTGCTGCTCACAGGCAGATGTGCTGTCATTCTCTGTCTCTCACGTACAAGGTGAAAGACTGAGGAGAAGTACCTCTGTTCCTCAGTGGCTGTACAGCGTAAAAGACAGATCAACTCTTGCGTTAGAAAATGCATTCAATAGCAGCAGAGTGACTGGCATGCAGCCCTATAGCCTCCACTCTAAGATGACAGATTATTGATTCAGGTCTGGTTTGGCTGGGAGCCCCATATGATTATGAAATATGGCCTAATGATTTAATAAGGTGACGCTTGGTCTAGTACATGCCAGCTAAAGACTTGATGATTGGTGATTGCTCCCTCTTTCTCTCTTGGTCTCTCACTCTCTCATGTGATGCTTTACATCCACCCTTCTGTCCAGTTGTATTTACAGTGGAAGCTCCAATCAGCTGCCTTGGCATTGAAAAAGGCCAATAGGATAATTAAATATGTTATAACATGTTGTTTATTGGGACATGGCAGGATGTTTTTATTTGACTTACCTTCCAACATATTAATTCCTATTACCTATCCCCAAATAAGACTGGATTCAAAATAAGGTCTTCCTCAGACCGCTTTGTTTTTCATTGATTAACTGTATACAGGTCTACTTGTGAAACATGCAGCATAACAACCAGATGATAATGATGATTATAATGACGACGGCGGTGATGATGAGAATGATTATACCAATTAGAGCCTGTAAATTGATAGCCCCTTATATCTCATTTACGCACATAATGTGAAGCCAGCTAGCAGTTAAATTAAATAACCTCTTCAACGCAGGAACCTTCTCCACCTCTCCACTCTCTCTCTCTCTCTCTCTCTCTCGCTCTCTCTCCCTGTCAGACAAGGACGCTCACACCTCGTTCACAACTCAAGGCAAGGCCGGCAAAGCCTGGCACAGATAGGAACTTTAACCCCTGACGGCCCAAAAAATTAAAACACATGAGCAGGGGTTAGGGATTGAACCAGAAACCACGGATTTACGCAGCCCTGTCAAAGACCTCGCTGAGGTGCTCTTGAGCAAGAAACCCTTCCGCTCTGCACCTGACCCTTCCCCAAGACCGTCCTGCAAACAGAGCCGGGAGCATTTCCCTAAGGGAGAGGAGGAGGGGGGGAATCAATGAGGTATCACGGTACACATGATGTGCTTTGATGCCGATGGTACCATGGTGCCTCTTCCTTTCAGCCTCCATCCCTGCGCCGCGCGGGAACGGCGGCGCGCATCCTGACTGTCATTTAGTCTGTAACCACCCACCAAACCAAGCAGCACCACCCGTCCCTCAGTCGAGAAATCATCCACACACAGAGAACATAGTGTTGGGGAGGCTCCGGTCGGTGCGTGTCAGCTGAGAGAGAGAGAGAGAGAGAGAGAGAGAGAGAGAGAGAGAGAAAGGGGGTGAGATAGAGAGACAGAGAGCAGAGAGAGAGAGAGAGAGAGGAGGGAGAGAGAGAGAGAGATCCTCCTTGGCACACACCCGTCAGTGTGGCAGTGTGATTTTGACTGACTGGCTGACTGACGGGGGATTCTGGAGGAAACACACAGGAAAGGGGACGACCCACACATTCTCCTGTTTTCTTTTTTCCACTTCTCGCTGTCTGTCACTGTTGTCACCGCCGATGGTTTTGTAGCCGCGCCGCCTGTACCCACCTCAGCATCGGGATTTTACTTTATTTCTCCTCTCCTTGATTGGCTGAAACGGGGCTGATCCCAAGCCACCCTGGGCCGGGCCGTGGGGCTGTTCAGCGAGCCTTATAGCTGAAGTTGGCACCCGAGATGAGCGCCTTGAAACCCTGGAGCGGGGCTCTCTCCTCGCCGGGGAGAGGGTCTGGGTCGTGGCGTTGCTGGTGGTGGTGGTGGTGGGTCGTGGTAGTCGGGGTGGCAGTGGGTTCGGGAGACCCGTGGTTGTCCGCGGAAGCATGCCCGTCCACTTGCTCCTGCAGCAGCACCAGGATCTCCTGCGTGGACCCGGAGCAGGGTATCAATGCTTTCCCCGTCCTGCAGAGCGAGGCGGAGATGGAGAACATCACCGACATGTAAGTGTCTCTCATAAGCACCACTTCTTCCTTAAATTTTCATTTATATTCCGCTTTTATCACACTGGCTGTATTTTCCAACACTTTCCAAATAAAGGAATGCCATCATGTAACCCCCTCAGTTGTGTCTGGAGCCGACAAAAAGAGCCAGAACCGATTCAGATTGTGTCTATTTATTATTTAATTTTTGCTCTGAATCTTAATCTCTTGCATGATTTCAAGGCGAAGTCACAGATTCACCAGCTCGGATATAAATTGAAGTCCTGTTCGTTTATTCGGCTCAGACGCATCATGTGTAACCTACATTGCGTAACAGACTCATTGCCTTCACGGGGGCACATCAGTCTTTCAACAGCAGCGTAGAAACAGCCCCGTTTTAAAAAATAAAAAGCAGTGTTGAGGCTGATAGACTTTATTCTGACAATCAGACAAAGCCCTGTCTGTGTGCGGGCGCGTGCGTGTGTGCCCACGTGTGTGCGTGTGTGTGTCTGTGTGTGTGTGTGGACGGAGACACACACACACCAGACACCACTGTCCAAATATTAGCACCAGACACTTCCCAAGATGGCTTATATATGAGTGTATTTAAATGAACCACAGAAGCGGAGAAAAATCGATGTTCAAGTGAAAAAAAAGAAGCGTTTTTCTAGTGAGAGTCAACACTTTGCTTGTATTTGAAGACTGGAAGCTCCTTTTCTGGGATAATTCAACATGACACAAAATCTCAGTGTGCATTTGAAATGTACTGTACCCCTCCTCCTCCTCCCTCCTTTACACTGCCATTTCATATAGCCCTAACGTCATTTGGCCTTGGAATAAATTGAGATGTGTCTAAGCGCTGATATCTGACAGCAATTACACAGGATATTAAAATATTTAATTGCTGCAATATCTTTCTTGGCAAAGATAAACGGCCTTGTTGATAATGACTTGTCAGAGATGAACTTGGAGAAGCCTTGGACGCAGTTTAAATGAGCCAGCAATCTGGTGAAAAGCATTCACGGAGTGCTTGGCTAATGTAAACAGACAAATTACTGATGACCGTGCGACGTCTAATTCCAAACGACCTTGCCAAAAATCCGAGGTGATCCGGGTTATCGTGCCCCCTGTTTCTGTTAATTGGTTAAACATCCTGATTTTTCATGACATCTGCACTGCAAACACACACTTTTACCAGAATATAATGGGCTCTCAATGTCAATGAATTCCTAAAAGTGTTCAAAATCTTAAATATTGCCTTGTTTGTGTTGATTTCTGTCCTATGTATGGATGTGTTTAGTATAAAATTAATCATATTTAGTTCCCATCTGCAAAGAAAATATCCTCAAGATGACCTAATTGAGGATTTGTGTGTAGTAAATGACACAAAAGTCACAATATTCTTTGGACTAATAGCCTCAGTATTGATAATGTTGGTGGAATTTTGTGGATGTTGGCTCTTAAATAAACATTAACACAAGAAAACATGCCTGATCATAGTAGATTTCAGGCTAATGGACACATGTGGGTGTAGTAACACCAAGCTTAACTCCTCCCTGCAGTGAAAGGTTCATGAACCCTGAAGATAAAGCAGAGATGGAAGTGCATGCTCTTAGTATTTGGTGATGATGAATATTATTCATCTTCCTTGAACTGGAACATTGTCTGCTTTTAGCTGATTTATTTATTTATCTTCTGATGATCAAGGTGTGATCTAAGGTAGATTACATTAAAAACATTTAAGTTTTTTGTCACAATTGTCAGGGATTTTCACTCTTTAATGAAAGTTATTGTGTGAAACAGTGTGTTGATGCTGCTTTTCAAAGAAAGGGTTTAGTTGTTTAGTGTGTAAACCACTGACAAACGTTAAAATTCTAGGTCAGCTTCTTTAAATATTGAAGCTGACAGGAAATTAGGGGAGAGAGAGGAGAGGTGACATGCAGACTCAAACTGGGGATGTTGGGATAACATGGTGTATGACCCCCAAGGCCACCAGGATACCCCATTTGGTGTAAATTCAGAGACGAGAGACATAAAATCCAACGTATCATGTTGTATTTGAAGTGATTAGCAACGAAATAAACAACCTTAGACTAAAGACCGCTCTCCACTATAGCCATGTTAAAGATCTTGGAAATCAATAAATCTAATTAGAGATGTTTTATTTCCCAGTCGGATCCTGTGCATCTAACACATGAAAAACATAATTTAATGACTTTGTGATTTAGACAAACAAAAACGGTGATTCTCTAGAGAAAGAGCTCTGCTGCGACTGTTACAGCACGTTCCCTCTAGGTGAGAACAGTTCACCTAAATGTTTTAAGACGTCTGATCCCAAAGCTGTGATATTTGAAAAGCACATATTCCCATGGTTTTCCCAACCGGGTGTTGCCCACAATCTCCTCCTGATGGCCCTTAAAACGGGTCAAGTGCCTTGCTCAAGCGCAGCTGAGGAAAAAGACGAGGGAGCTCTGTGCCTGTTTCTCTACTTTTTTAAAAATCACCAGCTGCCCCTGTGTCCCATTTATCAGCTGTAGTCCTTCAGGAGTTCATTTTTTTCAATTCTGAACTCTAATTATATGGGCTTATTATGTTCCTTTGTCTTGTTGAAATGCCTCTATTTTTGCTTCCCTCCGTTAACAAATGAGCCTTCTGACACTCACTTGTATCTCCTGACAGTTACATCGCCAACCAGAGCAGCTTCTCCTCCATCAACGACAAAGACCTGCACTACTACAAGAATCTCAGGAACCTGTAAGTCTTTTATGGCTCAAATTACCGAGACAAGACGTTCGGCCCCGGTACATATTTGGAGCTACTGTCAATTGGCAAATTTACACAAAAAAAAATGTTTTATATATTTTTTATATTCTGTGGCTGTTCTGTCAACATCATCTATTTGTGCCTAAATATTGGCAGCAAGGCAGAAAAAAGAACCATTTCATTACATATACATATATGTACTTTGCTTGTTATAGTCCACTGCATACAAAATATTGATTTACTTCGCCTTTATTGATAATCCTCCTTCTTTGCTTATGCACTATACTCTGTCCACATATGTTGCTTTTATACCCCACTGTGTCCTTGGGTGTTTTGTAGTTACTGTGTTTTGCAGTGCATCTGTGTCTCATCTTATGTCTTAATCTAAAACAGAGTTGTCTACCAAGCAGCACTCTCGTGCAACATAATCATCTGTTAAGTAGACACTACCTAATTTTCCAGCCAATATCCCTTTTACTAGAAAGATTAGTACCAAGCAAGTTATGCACTACGAGTGTATATGCTTTTAATTGTGGTTGGACCCGGAGGGAGCGAAACTCTAAATGCAGGCAGGATGAATGTTTGAGCCACAATCAAGGACAACTGTCCCATGTGTCTGAGAAACAATTTACACACAATTACACTGTATGCAGTTAATATTTTGAATGAAAAGGTCTTGATACCAATATGATAATCCTATTTCACAGTTTTAATAGTTTCACAGTAATCATTTGTTAAGTGCCTTGTTTTTTACATGGTTGAAATGAAAATCTTAACACTGTCTCAGTCATGTCAGACGAGATCAATCAGTCACAGAACAGCTGTTAAACCAACTTTTCATATCAGATAATGATGTTGTATAACAGCCTCACGTCAGCTGATGAAGAACACACACTCTCTCCACCTGGTTTTAACAGTGCTGAGTGATTCACAGTATGTAGGAACATTAAAGGCACCTGACTTTTATCAGTTGAAGAGGCTTTGCATTAATTGAGACATCTTATATATATATATAAAAAAATAGAATCGCAGGCACTGTGGCAGACTTGTGAAAATAGACTCGAAAGATCTTTAATTGGTACAATTTGCATAGACAGCCCTGGATTAGTGAGGTGATGTCTTTATTTTGTATTTTTAATTTATTTTAAGGAAAGATGGTCTGATGGTTTGATACAGATTATCTGATAAAATCTACTACAGTGTAAGTTACAAAGTAATTTACAGTAAAACAAATAATGAAAGTAAATCAACTATAAAACAAGCTAAGACAGTTAAAAGAAATGACAACAAATCAGTTAAGAAAAAGTGAGTTAAGAAGAGTTTAGTGCTGAGTTTAAATAGTGGGTGTACATTATCTTCTGATAGATGCAGTGTTTGCAGGCATAATTTGTTTTAAATGTCACTTTAATGGCAAACCAGATGAACCAATTATTGTGTTTTTCAATGTGAACAAAAACCTTCTTTCGCAGTTATGATTAATCTTACTATTGGCTTGTGTAACTAAACCTATGTTGTGTAATCTATTTAAGCTTTTTAAATGAAAGATAAGGTATTTAACAGGTGGTGAAAAAGTAATTTTACTGGTGTCTATCCTCTTTTGGCATGACTTGAACATTGAAACTGGTACCAAATATATTTTCTCAGACTTCATGGAAGCTGACCAGGACCCAGAATTCAAGTTTTTGCTGTTGTTTATGTTGATAACTGTACGGATCGTGATGAAAACGGTGACGCTGTGTTTGTTTTTGTATCAGAACGGTGACCAACAGCAGGCTAACATACGTATCAAAGCTGGCCTTTCAGAACAACATCAAGTTACAGTATCTGTAAGTAAAAACTCTATGCTACCCACTGTACGGCTTCCTTTGTTTGATTCAGTTGAGCACAAAACTGTTAAAGACGTGTCATCTTTTGAAAATGTAGCTGTGTTTTAATTTAATTAATTAATTCTAGTATTTATTGTTGAAATCATAACGTAAAGAAAATGTATTTGTAACCTTATATTAACTAGAGAGAAAAAATCAAACCCTGTTATAGTTGGGAGAAAAGTCCAGTTCAGGTTCAGACTGAACAGGATTTATAGTTTGATACTTATTATACAGATAAAATGCACCACTATAAGGTTAATTGTCACAATCCTTAGTGGGGAAAACTTTTAATGAGAAGTAATAATGCAGGCTTATTGCTGCACGTAGAAATGTGCTGTCAGATGCTGTAACGTCAACCTGATGTTTTGTTGGTATTCTAATCTCATTCCCCGATGTTTGACTTAATTTCCAGGAATCTGAAAGATAACAACCTGTCATCACTGTCCTGGAGGATATTCAGGCACCTCAACATCTCTTATCTGTGAGTTCAGTGCAGCCTTCTCTATCAGTCTGTCCATCTCCATGTCTGTCTGTCGCTCTGTTCCTGGCTCTCTCTCTCTTTGGTTCACCTCCCAGTTATCATCACAGTCTGTAGATAAACATATACATACAGCGTATTCAATGGCACCTATAGATTTTTTATGTTTTGAAGCTTGGTGTTGGGTTAACTGCTGCCTGCAGTTTAGTATGTTTTATTTCTGAGACTGAGATTAGCTGAGGTAGGGTCAGCAAGTGACAATTAACCACCAGGGCTCAGTGTGATTGACTATATGACATTTCTCAATAAAGGCAAACATGCCCCCCAAACATACCCTTTACTCAGTCTCCCACTACTTTAATATAGCAGTAACTTTGTAACATTGCACTGCAGGACATCGGGGCATGGAAATTATGTGGACAAATGTACACACTTTGCATTTCTAAAGAGCGAATTCCAACATTTTCCAATGGTTCAATGCAGTTCAGTACTGTTCAATAGATTTTTTAATTCCATGTGGAAATTGAGTTACCATGAGTCTGAAAAACCTCCACTCTACTGTAGAAACGCAGCAGTTTAATATGTCGGACTCTGTAGATGAAAACGTCTCATTCTAAGGTAATGTTAACACAACGATCCTTATATTCAGGTGGTTATCCACTAATGAAAGTGTGCCTACGAATAATATATTCCATTTCTGCCAATAGAGCCTCCTAAATGTTACACACTGGACCTTTAACCATTCAAGTCCGGCTAGCTGCTTCCTGTCTTTATGCTAAGCTAAGCTAACCAGCTGCTGGAGGTAGCTTCATATTTGATGGACAGATATGAGAGTTGTATCAATCTAAATCCTACAGCTCTCTCCAAGAAAACAAACGAGCATATTTCACACAACGTTGAACTATTTCTTGGAGGCACACTGTGCTGCATCAGTTACCACATAATTCAGCTATTGCTTAGTTTTTTTCAAAATTTCAGTTACTCTTTGTTCTTAACTTTATATGTGTGTGTGTGTGTGTGTGTGTGTGTGTGTGTGTGTGTGTGTGTGTGTGTGTAGGATCCTGTCAGGGAACCCTTTGCACTGCTCCTGTGAGAACATGTGGATCAAGCTGTGGTTAGGAGAGGAAGCAGACACTCAGGAGCTGCACTGCATTGAGGATGGAGGAGGACGCAAGCTCCTGTCCACACTGGTACTACCTAACTGTGGTGAGGACACACACACACCCACACACACACGTATAGAGTAAGGAACTGCTGGAAAAGTCATTCACAAGCTGTAGCGGAGAGTACGGGGGAAAACAGTAATCCCAACAGTTTCCTCTACAAAGATTTTTCCAAATCTTTGTTTTGATTTTGTGAGTTCTCATGTGTTTTGCACATGCATTAGACATCTGTTTTTATGTATGTGCATGGTTGTGTGTGTGTTTAAGTACAGGACTTATACTATATACAATGCGGTATTACAATAACAAACGTGCTAAGTGTTTTGTCAGTTCTGAGCGGAGGTGCTGGGGACGAACAACTGGAGAAAACTTGTTGTTAAAACCTGTGAGAATAACTGCACAAAGAATAAAATTCATGCATTAACCACAACCACTGCAGTAATCAGTAATATATACCTGCTGCTATGTGAACTTTCCCAGGCTACAGTGAAGATGCTGCACATACTGTATTTCACTTACGCAGGGCTCTGCTTAGCCTGTATATCATAATTTCCCTAGACACTTTGCATCGTAAAAAGCTACAATGTCATACATGTGAGCAAGCAAACAAATGACCAAATGAACGCATGCATGCACACCCAGAGCCCCGCTTTTATAGAGGGCTTAAAAATGTAGTTTGGTTTCTGCTGGGTGCCATGAAAAAGCCACTGACGCTAAACAGGCTGACGTTATCTCTGTGCTGTAGGGATTTTTCTCATATGATGCAAAGATTAGCTGCCAGATGGAGGAGAGCGAAACCACAGAGTGGTGTTTGTTATGTGCTGTGTGAGTGGTTATGTCATCTTATAGACTGGTTACAGTCATCTGAGATATTTGCTTGTAGGTGTAGAAAGGTCACGGCACAGGACATTATAGAAGCAGGGAGGTATTATACTGAGGGACTCAACACAAGGATGACATTAGTGATTCTCATTCACTGCATGTATCACAATAAAATAAAGTGTTAAGACCATCTGCACTATGTCCTATAGCACCGGTGACCTGCTGTCACACAGCAGATTTCATTTCCTTTTTGTCTGAATCATCATATTTTGGTCGTCAAGGAAGGAATTCTTCCAGGGCTTATGGAAACCTGCACTAAAATACCCAACCACAACAGCAGTAATCACATTTTTATGAGTAATAAACACAGATTGGGTTGTGAAAAATGTATGAGAAAATGTTGCATCTTTGTTTAAGTTGCAAAGAAATTAAGTACTCCCATAAGGGATGCATCTACAAACCAGAAAAAACATCGATACCTATGCGATGCGTACAGCATAGAGTTATTTACAAACTAAGTAAAATGTCAAGCTAACCAGTAAGCTCGCTGTCACTGCTACAGACCACAAGTGGTATTTATTTACATATGGAATTGTTTAACAAGCTTGAATGTATAAATATTAGCAGCTAATTGATGCTTTATTCCTCCCCTCTTCTTCTAAGTCTCTCTATTTTGGATTCCTCTTCTCTTCATAAACAGGGTCAGATTACAATTTGACCTGCGCTTAGTCTCTGAAGAAAAATCTGTCCAAACTCAGCCTTTGGGTTTGTAGGTTTTCAGAAACACAAATCTGGCAGACATTCAGTAATAATTTCGAGCTTGAGCTTGACCCAAGTAAACAAATGAAACGCAGATTGTTCTAGCCTTCGGGGCAATAAGTCCAGTCAGATCCAGTTTGTTACTGTAAAGTGAGAACATAGAGGAATCTTAATGTCTGATATAAATTTATGAAACGCACAATAATAGCAGTCAGAAAAGCTTTATAGGCCTCAATTGAAATGTAATCTGATGTTTTCCCTAATAAGCCAGAACATGAATCTTGAAGTATTTTGCCTGCTCAGTTGTTGACAGAGCAAGTGATCAAAAATAGCTCAGGGCAGTCGGGACGCACAGGACGCAAACAATAAGTTAGCTTGCAGGAAGCTAACAATGTCATTGATAACTCCTATTGATCCGTCCCCTCTGCCTCCCTTCCATTAGCAGAGGTTATTTTTGGCATTAGCACAGTTACAGCAGGGCCCCTGGAGGGATGGGCAGGGGACCCCCTGGCAGAGTGACATATGAGGAGGCGGACATGGTGGAGCAGGGTGCCAAACAATGCCCCAGGGCTAACAGTGATACACCAAAAGACCTCTCATTCTGGCCGAACTGCTGGCCTTTTGCTCTTTCTGTCGTTCTTTCTCGCCATCTTTTGCTTCTCACTCTCTCACGCTGTCTTTCCTCCTCTTTATTACGAGCCTCCATCTGTCTGTGTGCTTGCATGCATGTGCGACTGTCTGTGCTTCTGTCTGTCTGAACATTTCTGAGAGACATATGAGCAAGGCACAAAGCAGAGGAAGTGCCCAACGATGCCCTCGGGCTGACACTGATCTCTCAGGCCACCCGCGTATGTCTCTCTCTCTGTTTCGCTCTGTGGACTGTTTACTGCTGGAGCTCCTCTCAAAAAGGCTGGAAGACACTGTTCCTACTGACCTATGCAAAACTTTACTAAAAACGACTGCAGCCACCATGCTTGTGCAAAATGATAAGTCCACTGTGTCACTCAGCAAAAATGTTGGGGTTGAAACAGCTGCAGGAATTAAAACACTCCCACTGACTTGTTTGTTAATAGGATGATTAAAATGCTACAACACCCTATAAAAGCCATAAACTCTCCACTCTTGTTTAATTCCCTTTTACAACTCTTCCCAAAGTTGTAAGATTATGTCGCTTGTTCATGTAAAGATAAAAAAAATGTAAGCTTTTTCTACCACCTTGAGTTTTCTGTGGCTAAAATCTGCTCAATGATCCAAATATATAAATGCTAATAATTGAAACCAGCTGTCCTGAGAAAAAGGTGCCTTTACCCCCATGTGCTGTGGAAATGACGGCAGATGGATTACCAGACCTCTGCTGGTCATTTCACAGCACTGGTGCACTCGGCCTTCATCTGTCTCCCACTCTGTCTGTCTGTCTCTCCGTCTGTTCATTTGTTTGGCTGGAATGACCGTCTATCGGGTTCTGTTTCTCTTTGCCCTTTTCTGTCTTCCTGTTTTAGTATTTTTTCCACTGCTCTCATCTTTCCTTCTCTAACTTCTGTCTCCTTGGCGTATGCGTGAATATACTGCACAGTGTGAGTAGCCTATAAATGTACATATCTGTCTGTGTGACTGCTCCATCCTTTCCTGTAGTGTGCTCTTACAGTTGTATATGTGAAACACAATGCAGCACGTAGGCAAGAAAAAATATTGGTAGAGACCAACCAAAAAGGCCAGATGGCTCCTGTGTCTGTGGGCAGTAGATGCTATTGTGCGAATTTCCTATACAGTCTCTCACTTGTTAGATAACAAGGAATTAAACAAATAGACACAAAAGGCTAAAATCAACACAAAAGTAAGACAGCACAAAGAAAATCAGCCGAGTGCAGATTGACAGAAACAGATTAGGATGGTATTCATGTCTTGCAGCCCTGATGTTTTATGAGGTTGTTAAGTCTTTTAAAAGTTAATGGACATGACATTTAGTGCTATCCCACCTAGGTTTGGCCCTTCTGCGTTCCTTTTTAGGCCATGCTGCTGTCATTTCAGCAGTGAGGTTTCACTAACAGAAGAGGGGACAACAGCTTTAAAAACAGAAGAGCATAGCTGGTCAAAACAAATCAGTAAATCATCTTTATGAGTAGAGGGGAGAAGGTAATGGCTAAGAATATAAAATGAGGAAAAGTTGTGATGTAAAGAAAGAATAATGTGCAGTCTTGATTTTTTAATTTATCAGTGGTCCTTCATATGACAAGAATGATGCATAGCCGAACCAGCTCAGTATCACTGGGAAGTGCGTCCATGTTAGATGATTCTGCACCTCACGATTTATGTCCAATACCGCTAGTTGGAGAGTAACGGTGTGGAGGTGGTGGATGGGTATGTCTGCTCTTCATGCATTAGTCAGTAGATTAACTTTTTTATTAACCATTATTGAAGTTTCCCTAACTTTAACCAATTATTTTAGTGTATTTGCCATACATAGAGTATGTCCCTTACCCAAACCAGTAGTTGCCGAAGCTTGTGCTAAAATTGCAAAGTGAACACTGTCAATGTTCTTGTCTGGCAAGCAGATCAGACACCAGAGTAGCTAGTTAAATACAAGAGATTAACTTCAAACCAAAGAGAAATGTAACACTCTTTAAGATAAAAAAAACTATAAAAGTGGGACAGATACAGACGAGGCAGATATTATCTGATGTTATAATCAAAGCAGGCCGGGAGACAACTTGAGTGACAGTAGTTTTAGGTAGAAAATCAATAATCTATAATAGATTCCAGTCATGCCTCCCATTCTCTGCTCCTATTTCTCCACATTCTTTGAGAAGATAATGCCTTGACAGTCTTCACTGTACTCGAACAACAACAACAACAACAACAATAACAAAAGGAAAAGGCAAACTCAGGGAAGGATTTCTTGTTACTTTCCAGCACATTTCCTTCTTTCCCTGTTGTGTATTTTGTCAGAGATTTCTCTCTCTCTCTCTTTGCCTCTCATCAGAAATCATCTTTTTGGTGGAAAGGCTGGAGCCTTACATAAAAATATGTCAACACTTCTCTAAACACCGATGTGGACGTGTTTATTGTAGTCCATGAAAAGAGCTGACAATAATGACACCTCCAACAATGACGCTGAAGTATGCTGTGGCGTATTGTGCCGAGGGTTCAATCCAGAGAGCAGTGGATGTTTTCCTTCTATATATGAGTCTGCGAGCAGCTATTCAGCTTCACATCACTGGGACATATCCCTGATGCTGCGCTCGTAATTCACAGCACATTCACAGAGCATGCTCCTGGAGAATGAAGGCAACCTGGATTGAAGGAGTCAAAGGGTGTCAAGGACTGGTAATGTAATGTAGCCTTCACTCAGTTATTAGAGTGATGTTTTCATGGTTGCAGTCTTATCAACCTGTAAAAAAAATGTTGTTTACAGGAAAGAAGGTCCTTTGGCAGCAATTGCATCTCAGAAATGACACCTGGTAATACAAAGTAAGAGAAAAAATGTTAATGAGCTGCTGCTTGTGGACCCACAGAGTAATAATAGTAAAAAACAAAACAATTAAGAAAACAGAAAATGCCAGATTTAAAGTAAGATTTTCTTCTTTTTTAAAAAAGAATTCAAAATAAGCACCTACGTATGGATTTATTATTGTTTTTGTTTATACAATTAATAGAAAATGATAAAGCCTGGTGTCCAGTTTGAGGGTGTAATTTACATGCAGTCTAAGCCAAAAGATCAAGAAAGAAACTAGGCTATTTTTCATTGAATGAATGATAATGTGAGTGAGACACTTTTTGGTTTCATGAGTTGTTCCTCCATTTTAGCACGTCAAAGCCTGTGTTAGTCTGTCAGTAATCTATGTTGTTACTGTCAGTGAGGTTAGTGACAAACATGAATAAGTGAGTTGAGAAACATTAATAAAGGCTTCCACACCGACCATGAGGAGTCACTTAATGGTTTAATGTGAATCATACACCACAGCCTTCACAGTCTCTAGATCTCAACCCATTTTTTCAGATTATATATTTCGGTTGCACAATTAATCAGTGAAGTCCCCCACCCCCCCGCTTCCTTCCAAGCACCAAAGAGAAACTACGGTATGTACACCCCTTATGTAGAGCCGCTGTTTGGGTTGTCCCTTCTGGGCTACTGTACAAACGTGGTGGTTTAACATGGTGGAAGAGGACCCGCACCCTCTGTAGATAAAAACAGCTCATTGTAAGCTAATGAAAACAGAGTTATGCTTATTAATTGGTGATTATACACTAATGAAAACATAGTTATGCATATTATATTCCATTTCAGCCAACAGATCCTCCGAAATGATACACACTAGACATTTTTTAGACCATTTTATTTACTTTTCTGGCAAAACAATTCCAATCAAGGTGTGCTTTCTAGCATTGCTATAGATCAAATCAACCTCAATGACAGCTGAGCCGATTCCACCCCGTGGTGAAGACTGTGATTATGGCTGAAAGCTAGAAAGTAGACCTTGAGTTGGGATTGTTTTGTCAAAAAATGAAAATACATTAGACCATTCATTTGTCATGAATGTTGTTCATTAGGACACTACTGTGTTGCTGGCTTACCCTCACTTGACTGCCAGTGTTTTCCATATGTTTACAACTGGCTGCAGGTGGGCCGCAGCACGGGCCAAACGCTGAAGCACATAATGGTGAAATCTTTCCACGTAATGACTCATGTGTTGTCACAGACACAGGCAGGTCCACCACGCTAATTACGGTAAATTACTCCTTAGTCCTACTTGTTGATTCTGAACACATCCGAGCAGCTAAAGGATTACAATCACACAAAATGTCATGGGTGGTTTGACTACCAAAGCTGCACCCATAAATATTGAACATGGAAATAATTTTCTATGTACTGACAGGTCATGACAACTGCACTCACATCAAAAACCAAAGAGGTTTCCAGAAGTTTTATTATGATTTCTAAGCTCTGTGAGGTGCAGCTGTGTGTGTGTGTGTGTGTGTGTGTGTGTGTGTGTGTGTGTGTGTGTGTGTGCGTGTGCGTGCATGTGTGTGTGAGAGACCTGCAGATGGCTGTAGTGGCAGTAGAAAGCTGATTTACTTAGAGCCTGTTAAGATATGTGGTTCTGATATGGCAGCTGGCCTGCCACCACTGAAATGACTGGTTTTTTGTGTGCCTCACGGTGATTGAGTGGGTTGCCGTAGTGATAAGTGGGTTGCCCTGGTGATAAGCATTCTGCCAACGGACAGAAGAGGTGGAAGAGGAGGGGCGAAAGGGAGAGGAGAGGGTTCGATAAGAAATCTGTCCAGCTTTATCTGCAGTAGCTGTCGACACCCATTTCTTTTCTTTTCTTTCTTTTGTTTCTCTCCTCTTCTTTTCTATTTCTTCTCTTATTTTTGTTCTTGTCTTGTTCTTTTATTTCTCTTCATTTTGTTCTTATAATCTCATTTTCTGTTCTCTTCTCTTCTTATCTTCTCTTTTTTGTTCTTATCACTTCTTGTTTTGTTTCTTTCCAGTACCAGCGATGCTGGATCTAAATAGCTCAGATTTGTACTATTCTTCCGTTTGTAAAACTGGTACTGCAACCTACATCGTACGAGCAGAGAAATTGACAGGGGAGGTAGAGACTGGTGCATGTACCTCAGGCACACAAAAATGTCCACCAGCAGGTGGCGCTATAATCAATATAAGTGCGTTTTGGCTGGTAACTCACACGTTCAAAAACCTTTAATTGAGTTTCATCGTGTGATATAGGCCACGCCCCAATGTCGCCTAGAAATGTTTGTTTTCTGCAAAAATCACAATCGCAATCGCGACGCTTACTTCTATCATACCTAAATCCTCCTGGAGCTGAGTTCGATCTGCACAAAACTGTGCAGTAAAAACAGGAAATTATGTCATATCTCCACATTGGTCAATCCGATTAACACACAGCACTAGGTGGCGCATTTTATTTATTTTTTTATTTTAACAAAATCATGAAATAAGTTCTGATTATTTTTCAAATATTGAACTGATATCTGTGCTGCTCTCAAACTTGGATCGCGCCTGTGTGCCTGCGGGGCTCGAACCCCGTTAATACTTGCTTGCAGGTCTAGTTGTTCTTGTCTTCTCTTTTCTTTTTCTTCTGTTCTCTTGCTCCTGTCTTCTTACATTTGTGTTCTCTTCTTTGTCTTTGTTTGTTTTTGCTCATTTTTCTTCTCCTCCTTCTCCTTCTCATCCACCTTCTTCTTCTTCACCAGGAATGTTATTGGACAGGGGACAAGGGTGGCAAGACTCTGATTGAGTCTGATTGGTCACACTCAGGTCACCTCCTGGTCAGCACTGTACACACACACACACACACACACACACACACACACACACACACACGCACACACACACACAGACACACACAGACACACAGTCGCACAGAGTCACCAGTGTCTTTGCTTTGACAGAGGCTTCAGACTGTGTCCAATCAATTTAGTACTTGGGCTGCTGAAGACATGCACTAGTAATCAGTGTAACCATCACTGTGTTTGAACTCTGTCTCTTTGTCTGACTGTTTGATTGGGGTGAGTGTGCTTAAATGAAAGCGAGAGAGAGCGAGAGAGAGAGGGAAAGAGGGAGATTGAATTCGAGGTCTTTCTTTGTGTGTCTTTCTTTTCACTTGGTGGTAGTGGGTGTGTGTGTGTTTGCCTGCTCTTCCACTCCTATTGTCGAGGTTGTTGTTACGTGCCTTGTGTTTCAACTGAAAAGACAAGAGTTGGCCATGAATCCTAAGTTTGCTTCCTGTCCTCTCCTCTCCTCTCCTCTCCTCTCTCTACCTGTATACCCACCTCCGCTGCTCTCTACCTACTTCCCACTCCCTGGTTGTATGTAGAGGTTCCCATGGCAACGTTAAGCCCATCCAAAGTGACATTAATGGAGGGGGATAAACTGGACTTGTCCTGTACGACGTCTGGGGTGCCGTCGCCTGAGCTGATATGGAACATGGCACTGGTCACCAACTATGAGGTCAGGTCTCTCTCTCTCTCTCACACACACACACACACACACACACACACACACACACACACAAAAGAGAAACGCAAGCTCGGATATGTTGAAATTGTTGAAAGAATATTTTGACATATAATTGTCATTTATTGATGAATTGATATCATCATTTGCAGTCCTAAATACTTCAGTGATCCTCAAGCCTAAACAAGTTTGGCAACTGAGCTCAGCTAAAGTTATCAGTATACATACAAACTCCCTGTTAAGACATTAAAAATGAATCAAAACATCTTTGTATTTCCTAATCAAAATAGTAAAATTCAAACCCAAACTAAAGGATCCCTATAGTGTATTAACTAATTTTAAGGTATGCGTATCATTTTAGTTTAGGGTTGGATCCAATTAAATATCATGTAAACCCAACTGATATTTATTTTGATTTATGTTTCCTTCTATGTAAAGTGCCTTGAATGCAATGTTTCCACTGGTATGATATGTGCTCCCCATGCTTTCCTGAACATTATTCAACTGGTCCATTATGTGGGTCATCTTATCCCTGCAGCTCTCAAACCTTGAGAGATTATTTGTCAAATTATTTGGTGAAATACGGTAGTCATCTGATCAAAAAGTGATTGTAATCTTCATGCTGATATCTGGATGTGTTTGCTCACTCAGATCCAAACATCAGGCCAGATTTCGGTTCTAAGACTGTCCAACCTGTCTTCTTTGGACCACAACTGCAAGATCAGCTGCACAGCAGAGAACATTGTTGGAGAGAAAGAGTCCTCGCTGCTGCTGGACATACTCTGTACGTTTGCCCTCTGGCATGCAGCCCTAATTCAGCATAGATTATATTGTCAAAGTGTTCGTCAATATAGTATAGACTAAAGCTGGAGGACCATTCCACTCATCTTTAAGTCAGTGCTTTTGCATGCTTCACTTCTCTAATTTTACTGCTGAAGAACTATTTTGCCTTATCTTGCTTTTCTGTCTGTTTGTATCTTACACTTAAACTCTCTATTCTCTCTCAGTTCCTCCCAAAATCACTAAACTGAGTGATGCAATCCCAGACCATCACTGGTGCATCCCCTTCAGCGTGTCAGGTAAGAGAGACATCCACATAATGTCCTACTTATGCTGTCATTTGGTCAGTCCCAGCATGAAAATGTTGAATAGTATCCCAGTATATGATAATCACAGCAGTGACTACATAAACAAATGAATATAGACTGATCATTAAAGAATATGAAACCAGTGAAAATGTCTTGTATTGTCTTCATAATCTTTCCAGGAAATCCACAACCGCGTCTAGAGTGGTTTCTGGATGGTAAATCGGTGACGGAGGGGCAATACATCATGACCATGATCCATGATGTCACAGAGAGAGAGTACCACGGCTGCCTGCAGCTGGACAGCCCCACACACCTCAACAACGGACGCTACACCCTCTTGGCTATAAATAAATTTGGGAGAGATCAAAAAGAGGTGGAGGCACACTTCATGAGGAAGCCCTGGGATGGTAAGGAGTAACACTGCACAATGTTTCATTTTCCGTTCTAACGTTATTATGATTGATATATCTAACATATAAAAGAGATCAATCAAGCTTTTACTGTACCAAAAAGTACAGAGCTGGAACAGCTGGTCGATAAAATAATTAGTCCATCAACAGGAAATAAATCAGCAACTATCCTATAATTTTTATTTGTTTATCTAATTTTTCAAGCAAAAATCCCGACAGTTTCAACTCCTCCAATGTGGCGATTTGATGTTTTTTTTTCTCTTATGTGATATTAAAATGATGATCGTAAATGTCACCTGAGTCTTTAGGACGACGTAGTGGGGATTTTTTTTTTTCTAAACCAAATTGATTCATTGATTAATGGATGACATTAATGGATGACATTACATTGTTTTTCTTATGATTAGTGTAACTTTGCCTTTTGTTCCTTTTCTTCTCTTTTTTTGCCTTCAAGCCCTTAAAAATGATGAAGTTGTAGAACTAATCACTTTTACAGTTACAGTCACAGTTAATGTCTTTCTAGATTCAGATTTAAAGGAGGAGCTGTTGTTATTATTATTTGGTTAAATTCATAATGTTGCTTTTTCTAGTTTTTAGAATATTGTGACATATACAAAAATATATCCAGTGTGCGGTTTGTGAAATATTTGATCAAATATAATCTTTGTGTTTTTATCCTAATGTGCAGGAACAGAGAAGGACCCTTACTATTATGGTGAGTGAAATGGATATTCATAACTACAAATGTTTTTTTTAAATTAATGTTAAAAGTGTTAAATCACATCCAGTTTGGATTCATTGTGTTCATAGTTTCAATGTTTTTCTGTTTAACCTCTTATCATTTTCATCCTCATAACTTAACACAAATTACATTTTAGAAATCTTTCTCTTTCTCTTTTTTCTCTCAAGTTGCTGAGGGTGCGTTACATACCTACACATCCTTGCAGCTAGGGATTAGGACTGTTGTTATGTCTTTGTCTACTCTGTGATGTTATTTCTTTTTTTTTTCTTCTGATGTTGTGCATGTCAAATATATGTTGCTTGTTGGTTTTTTGTATTGCTTTTGTTTAATGGATATTTTTTTTAAAACAAGCTCAGAGAACAGGCATGACTGACAACATTATTTGTGAAGTGCATGTCAAAGAATTTACAATTGAATTGTGTTAATATATTTGTAAGATAATTTGTATTTGTTGTCTCTTTCTCCAACACTTACTCCTCCCTCCTGCAGATCCAACCACAGGTACTGTGGCCGAGCCTTTCATTTTCTCACTCCCAGTCACAAACGTCACAATTAAGTGGCTAGTCCCTGCCGCTTTAACATTGTCTGAGTTTTTAATGTTTCCAGCTAACTCTTTTAAAAAACCTGTAAAAAAGGGTCTAAAATATGCATATCTGTACATGATATGAGGCTAGTGCTGCATTCACATGGATTCAGGTAAATGGATGCCATGTTACTGGATAGATATTAACAGTAGATTAGCATCGCCGTCCAAAGTTAACTTTTTTAAAACGTTTTGGCGTCCTTTGTGATGGAAATACCAGATGTTATGTAGTTCCCTCAAACAAGGAGAAAACACAGGAAATCTGCACAACGAGAAACTAATAATGAATAAATAACATAAAATAATATAAGACATCATTCATGTGTTTTGTGTTTTCTTTGTTCTTGTATTACAGCATGAAGCTAGTCAGTCCAAAAAAAGCTTAATTGTTTAAACACTTTATTTCACTTTTAACATTATAAGACAAAAAGGCTTTGAGGATGAGGACAAACCGATGTGTCTGACACATGTGAGACTGTCTCTAAAGAGGCTGGGGTTGCGGGAGTTGGGCAGAGAAGCTAACATGAGCCTAAACTAAAATGAAGCCGTCATCCAAACATGTTAGATGCAGGCCTGCCATGACTAGTTATGAACATTTGCGAAGGCTATGATTGTTGTTCTGGTGAAGGTTTTAGTGAAGTGAGCTAATTAAAAAAGTGCTAAATATTAACCTTGAACTAAATTCACCCACTGAACAAATACAGATAACCAATAATAAGAATTACACTGTCCTTCAGCTGGTCACAAATCATTTCTTACTCTTCTTCTCTATTTATTCCTCTCTCTGCTTCATCAACAGAGGGCCCCCCTGTAGAACCACCTGAAGACAGAGTCGCTGTAAGTCACGTATTACTGTTGTCCTCCATCTCTATCTCTTTGCTGACTGCCTCTTTCAGCTGTTGACCGTTTGTGCCTGTTTTTTTCTACCTATTTGTCTTACCTGTCTAGAAACAACTGAGCTGGATTTTTTCAGCGTTAGAAGGAATTAAATTAACCCAAACCAAAGTACAAAGACACACAACAGTACTTCAGAAAAATCTGCCTGTGGTCTGTACCTTCTGGTGTATTGTGTATCTTCAGAATAATTGGTTTATAACTCGGTTTTCTCATTGTGCAGGTGTACGTGGTGGTGGGAATTGCTGCTGTCGCCTTCACTGGTTTCCTTCTCATGTTGGTTATTCTCAAGTTTGGAGGAAACTCTAAATTTGGCATCAAAGGTAAGACTCCAGACTTTCATTGGCATTGGTGGCCTCCCTCCTGTGGGGGAGGAATTAATTGTAAAAACGTTGGTAACTTGTTGTTTGTGGATGTCTAGATTGAGGCGTTTTGTTAATAAATTGTAACATGGTGGCTTCATGGATACATCAAAAATACATTTTAAATGATTTTTCCCAAAATCAAAAACTACGTCAAACACATAACACATAATGTTTTGACGATCGATTCAGTTCATCAATTTGTATAACAACTACAAATTGTACATTTAACTCTATTATGAAAACTACATTTCCTTTTTTTTGGTTTTAGAAAACTTTTTTAAATTCTTGCTAGTGGGCCTAAGCTGGATTTATAGTTGATGCAAGGAGTTAACATGAGTCTTGTGACTCGAAGGTGGCGATCGCCTGCTGATATCACCTCTGCAATGCTAGGTGCATGTGTTACATATGACTTGATATACAGAGTAACACACACATAGTAGATTTATGGATCTGGAGTTACACCCTGTTAGCATTAACATTATTTACATAGAGAAATATTCATAGGGTGGCAGAAATATAATCTGATTTAATTGTTAACAATCATTGCTTGGAAAAGCCACCAAATGAAGATATTTTAACTTAAAAACATTACATTAATAGAAATATCTAAAGATGGCATTAGAAATCAATAATCAAAAATATAAATGAATTGTTTTATTTGCAAATCTCCAAATACATGTGTTTTTGCAATGAACTTAAGACTATCACTTACTTAGATCATTATATTATTTGTGTTAATATCAGTTTTTTAACACATTATTTCTTGATTAATTTAAATTAATGTGTTTGACATTTGACAGCATTTGATAACAAACTGGGGTGGCCAGGCTTTTTTTTCATGGGTGGCAGCAGCTGTGCAGTTTGCCGTCATTCACTCATACAGAGCAGCGATCGCAGTGTTAGATGTCTATTACAGAAAAGAAGAAGACTTCAGAGAGTCTTTAACCTACTTTATGTTCAATAAACCCTACCAGCAGTCCCCGCGATGTATCTTCATTCATGCCGCAGCCCCGACGTATAGTTATGGCGATACCTTGGAGCCCATGCATGTAACCGCTGTAGCCCCTTAACGCAGGAGTATAAATCCAGCTTTAGTCTCATTTGTGGGAGCATATTTGTACAGTACACATTGCAGGGGATATACCTGACATCTTCCTTGCAGTGGTTGTTTCAGTTCAGAAAGTAAAAATCTGGGGTTGAAGTCTGAGTCCAAGATGGGATAACTACATGTATGATGTGACATAAAAAAAACAAACAGTTAAACAGTGTTGTTGTTCATGGTTTAACGACATCTAGATCTAATTTAAGATGCAGATCATCACGTATCCATGAATCCGTCCTGTTGTTTGAAGGAGGTTCAGCAGGTCTGATGGTGCTGCTGGTGAATAACACGCATGTTGACTAAACTGAAGTCCTGTAATCTTCCTGTTGATGTAAAACTACTGTGGTAGCCATTGTTGAAGCCCCCCCCCGGCACACACATACACAATCACCATGTATCTTTTCTTTGCAAATGTGGAACTTCTGCAATGGCTACAAGTGTAACTAATCTGTTTCGTCTTGTAGTATTTGTCATACTGACTTACTAGAATTGATTTGTGTCTGTTTTGCTAATTTTGGCTGATATTTTCGCATTCTTTGAACTTATAGTGATAAACACTTCTATCAGTCCTTTCTACACACATAACAATGGTTATGCTGTTTTATATGTGAGACAGACGTTCATCTAGAGTATAGCTGTGTGAAAATCCCAAAATACATACGCTTGGTGCGGGAATTGTTTTCTGTGCCTTTCATACAGTTGACTTGAGTTTAGTTCAGTTTGGTTGAACAACAATGCATTTATGATAAGCAACCAAAGAGTTCAACATTCCCAGGAAGTAATTTTCTGCTGTTTAAAGATACAGTTGTTTTAGGAATAAATAACTTTCCGGCGCTGCTTGAACCATTCCTATTTGATGCAGCAGCGAAGGTCCACATTTGACATTCAAATTACGAAACCAAAAAGTGAATGCAAATGTAGAGACTTAATAAATGTGTGTTACCAAGTGTATGTTCCTGTACGTGTGTGTGTGTGTGTGTGTGTGTGTGTGTGTGTGTGTGGCTCTCGTTTGCACTGTTGAAGTGTGGTATTTTGGCAGTGATTGATTTATGGCCCCCTGAGAGAAGGGATGCATGCAGATGGAGCCGCTAGTATATACATTGTGTGCGTGTGTGTTTGTGTTTATGGTCTTGTGTGTGGTTTCTTCTTTCTCCAGGAGAGGTGAATGAGGTTGCTCTGAAGGAAATGATCTCTCTAATGCCTCTTAGTGTCCCCTATATATCTGTATTTGTGTGTATGTGTATTTTCTTGTACGTTTAAGCATTTTTGCACGTGTATGCACTTCCACTCGTGTGTAGGATGTTGGGTCACATTACGGTTTTGCCCTTCTGATTGCTCCCCTTGAGTTTTCCTCCTTCTCTCTTTCCACTGTCGACTTACTCTCCCCATGTGGTTCCGTCCTTTTATGCTCCACATACATCCAGATGTATGTGCCCTGCAGCATGCTGACATTGGGCTGAGCGTGTTGGGAGACAGATTGAGAGACAGTATAGTGTCCGTATGAGCAGCAGAGTCAGACGGAGAGTCGGAGAGCTGTGAGTAATCCACAGCAACAGTTGTGCCCACATAACCACTGTTAAACCTCCACATATTTCCTATACCGAGCCATTGACCAAAGTTAATCTGAACTACAGAAATATAACCGCAGATGGTTGCACGCTACCAGTGCCAATTAAAAAACAAACAGCACTTTGTCATGGAAACATGGTTTACAAATCATCCCAACATGCACCCGCAGACACACAAACACCCCCATATGAACAGAGTCAGGGCTGACCAGGATGAGGAACTTGTAATCAGAAAGTGTGAAGAGAGTGTGTCAGGCCTTGTACCATATTGAACCGGTGTCCAAGCTCATCTCGCCTCACTGACTCTGGATGAATCGCTGTCCGTCTCTTTCTGAGAGTCAAGTAAAAAGCTGTAGCTGGTTTACATTATTTATATTGACTGCATTATTCTGCTCCTCTCTCATCAATAAACATGGGCAACATTTAATGCAGGTTACTTCTCACGTGCTCCTTCACACACACACACACACACACACACACACACACACACACACACACACACACACACCCACACACACACACACACACACACACACAAACATACAGCATGGCTGTTCTGTTTTGTATTCTGTATATAGTTGTGTGTGTTATCGTGCTCTCAGGTGGGAGTAACTAAATGTGGTTAAATGGTATGATTAACCATGTGTATAGTGTTGAGACAGTAATGTAGATTCAGCATACCTGAAATACTGGACTATTGGATGGAAACCAGAGCGGATTTAAAAGTTCAAAATTCAAGTCTCATCTTGGCTCTCCAGGATAATTTCCACGCTTCCCATTCACTGTGAATTTGCATGTGAGCCTGGCTGTTTATATCAGAAGCGCATTTCTTCATGCAGGTCAACAAGAAATTCTGTTCCTCTGCTCTTTTCTAATAACACGTACAGCTGATCTTTATAATAACCTCATGAACTATGTGTCCATGGTGTCGCTTCTTCTTCTCCAATGAAGTTAAGAGGACCATCTTGTGATGATGTGCGGGGAGGGTCTTTTCTCCTGCTGCTTGTGTGTCTACTGTGTGTGTGTGTCCCCAGCGTGATAGCAGCTTTAAGTTTGTGTTGCTATATCGAGTAACCAGGGCAAACCACATAATAATTAGCTACTTAAAAGTTAAAAGGTATTATAGCAGTTGGATTTAAACCTAAGAGACTTAGAAAACCGGAATTTCTGTTGTACTAGTCGGGACGTCAGTATCGTTTAAGATCCAACTTGTTCACAAATTAGGCTACACTTATCTGATCAATACAGCTTTCCATTCTCGAGAGAGAAAGCAAATCAGGTTTGGTGAGACTATTTGCATGCCAGCTACACCATCTGCGTCCAAAATACCACACTAAGGCTACATTTCACCTAACAAAATTGAGTTGTATCCTAGATGAGTTCCCCTTTTGCCATAAATTGGCACACAAGGAGGTAATCTTGTGAAGTTGCAGCAGGTGTTACTGAAACTGAAGTATTTTCAAAAATGAATAGTGGATGTTTGTTGCATGGACGAGTGAAAGATTATTTATTCAGGAAGTCTTCTTGAAAGTAGGTTTAATTTTGTGAGCAAGATCAAAGTACAAACTGTGTCCAAATGTTGGAGCCTGCAAAAATGAAAACCCAAAGATCTGGATGTTGAGAGACAGAAAAAGTAATAGCGAGCTGGCTTCAAATGGGCCCGCTGGAAGCCTAGCAGTTCCCACAAAATTACACATAACGACCCTCCCAAACTGACTGCAGACTCCTGAAAGAAAAAAAACAGATCAGACAGTGCAGGCAGAGAGGGAAGGACGTAGCAGAATCTATATGTGTTCGTGCCCTCGGAGCACCTGTAGGGAGGTAAGCATCAACATAAACCTGAGTTCTGACGCAGGAACAAGACGGAAATGTCAAGACAGAAAAAAAGAGGAGTGATTGAAAGCGAAACAGTAAATGTGAAGTGGAGAAAGCGAGAGACAGGTGGAGAGGAAGAGAGAGCAAATGCTAAAATTGACATTTGACAAGAAGCGAGATTGAGGTACACAGACTGAAAGCCGGTAAGGAAGAAAAAATATGGGGAAAGAAGAAGCTATAGCCATAGATAGAAAGCCCACCTTTAAAAGATAGAGCAAGAGGAAAGAGGAAGAGAGAGAGACAGAGGGAAGGAGAAAGTCCTCTCTTGTCCACTTATCAATGATTCATCATTAGTGCAGGTTTCAGTTTGCTCCTTGTTTGGTGGAGTTACACACCTCCATCTCCCTCCCTCTCTCTCTCTCTCTCTCTCTCCCTCTCACATGCACACACAGCTCCTCACTGTTGATCGATCA